GCAAACTTGCATAATCACAGTAGGCTCAAATATCAAACAGTTTGCGAAATAAACTATACATTGCAATAGGACGTCCCTTCTATTTGAATGCATCATATTGGCTCATTTTTGCAGATATATGCTTTGCAGAAACTAATTTACTCAGGTGATAGTTAAATATTTTGAGTCGGGTCGCGTTTTTGACATCGACATTCACGCACTGTCGTCAGTTCATTGTACGCGTAAAAAATGCTGTTTTGCATATCAATCACAGTAGCGATGCGAAACAGTGGCTGATTTCTGATTCAAAAACTTTAAGGGCAGTTTGCACTTGACGTTACCGCGCCAAGTCAGAGTTTTCCTAAGCTTCCAAACTGTTACTCGTCTCTGTTCTGTTTGGCATGCTAACGCAGTGGTTTATCCTAATCTCAGCGTAGAACGCGCGAGGGATTTTTCCTAACCGGCTGCCCCAAATATGCCAAAGTATTTCACGACCAAAGGACCCTGTACAATGCTGCATGTTGGTTGAGGGTATAGTGCGGCATAAGTTTTGTTTTCCGAATTAAAGCGAGGCGGCTATGCGACTCGCCTAAACAATCGAAAAAGGGCGCCTTCTAAGCGTGAAATCAGGGTAATTTGAATGGTGTTCACACATGTGCCGTCACAGAACAGCGTATCTCACGAGCATGTTCCCGGGGCAGGATTTCCAGCTACTACATTCTGGTTCGCAGCTATGCACTGGTATGGTAGCCCTTTTTCTTTTCTTTCTTTTTTGCATGCATATCTTCACGAAGTTATATTTTGATTTAGAAAGTAGACAACTCTTTTTTACTTCACAGTGATTTTGATCTTATGTTCTGATTCGGGCGGGTTTTTCTGATGCTATTTAAGTCTTCCATAAGTCCTCGTACTTCATGAAAATGTCAGTTGGGAGAGGCGTTTTTTTCTACAACTAAACTCTTTCCGTCACTCCCCCGTTCTTTTCATGCTTGCGCCATTTACCTGGTTCTCTGGTGATACGAGTGTGACCTTCTCAAGATGCTCTCTTTTTTGTAAATCTCTAGTTCCATTATCTATTGCTTACCTGTTTTCTCTCAACTATAATATATTTTTTCCTACCAGATTGGTTTGAATCGTTCGACCAGAGAGGCTCTGCCACATATCATTCTACTGAAAAGCACTGACAAGAAAATATAATCATATGTACTGATTCACAAACCAACCCAGACTGATTTTGTGACACCATAGTCTAGACTAGTATTTTGCCAACGGCAGCGCTACCCGGCACTTTCGAAAATCGATAGATTTTGCTGATTTTTGAGTGCGAATGGTGCCCGAGTATGACGATGGATTGATTGTGCATGTGAACAACTAATTGCTCTTTTCAACGAATTTCGAGACTGTTCTGTTCGATCCCCTTGCTGAACATTCGACAATTCACTTTTTATGGTGAGAGCAATTGATGGTGACATGTCCTCTCTTCTTATCGCATAGCCTTGTTATGTTTGTGGTGCCTTCTGTACCATATGGAATTGACAGTTCAGTAACTCCAGTCTTCCATTTATTGTTAGCTTTTTTCGTTTCACGCTCCAGTACAAATTCTGCCTAAAATCTATTTTGTTCTAAGAAATCTTCACTCAAACGTGAGTGTTTTCATGGTA